TTCTCACAATACAAGAACTCGTGGGCACTCAATGAAATGCTGAGCAGTCGGGTTAGAATGGATAAAAGTAATCTTCACCCAAAGAATGATTAACACATGGAATTCACTGCCACAGGAAGTGGTGGCGGTGGATGGCTTCAAGAGGGAATTGGATAAACATATGGAGCAGAGGTCCATCACTGACTATTAGCCACAAGGTATAGATAGGAACTCTGGGGCAAGTAATGCTCTGTATTCTTGGTGCTTGCGGGGGGGGGGGACAGTGGGAGGGCCCCTAGTGTCTTGGCCCCACTGGTGGACCTCCTGATGGCACCTAGTATTTTTGACCACTGTGTGACAGACTGTTGGACTGGATGGGCCACTGGCCTGATCCAACATTGGCTTCTCTTATGTTCTTAAATGTACCGTGTAACTGGGAGTTTCTTCATGATGTGAACCATCTGTGTATACTGCAAAAGCAGTATGAAATAAATTAATAAGGAAAGCAACAAATTCGAGGGCATGCAAGGAAGCTGACTGATAGCAAGTTAAGGACTAAGAAAAAGAAATCTTTTCTTTCTGCAACATGTGTAGTGGTAAAGTGTGCGGACTCTAATCTGGGAGAACTGGGTTTGGTTCCCCACTCCTCCACTTGCACCTGGCTGGATGACCTTGGGCAAGCCGTAGTTCTGATAAGAGCTGTTCTTGAAAAAGAGCAGTTTTTGTCAGAGCTCTCTCAGCCCCACCTACCTCACAGGGTGTCTGTTGTGGGGAGGGGAAGGGAAAGGAGTTTGTAAGCCGCTCTGAGACACCTTTGGGTAGTGAAGGGCGGGGTATAAATCCAAACTCTTCTTCTTAATGTGTGAGGACAGCCACTGGCCCCCTCAAGGGTCTTTTACAAAAGGGACCCAAAGGAGCCTTTCCAAGAAGCCTGGATGCTTTAGCACAGTCACCAGAGCAAGCCTAGCTCCTTATTCTATCTCAGAGCCAGAGATGGGGGTGGAGGGTTCTCAAAATTGAAAGTTTTCAAGTGTTTCATTTTTCTGTGCAAATTTCTTTCATTTCTAAACATTCATTATTTCATAACATTAGCAACAATGAATGGCTGCTGTTGCCAACAGAATATTTGGCAATCCTGGCATTTTCCAAGCTATAATTAAAGTGTTTTATTACCCCAGGAGTTGAGTGAGAGTCCATGTATAATTTATTGATTTGTAAACTGGGGCAAGGAGCTGCGGTGGCTCAAGTGGTTAAGACGCTGAACTGCAGGCTGTGGAAGGTCAGTAGTTCAGCAGTTCGAGACCCGAGTTGCCGCATGACGGAGTGAGCTCCCGTCTCTAGTTCCAGCTCCTGCCAACCTAGCAGTTCGAAAGCAAGAAATTGCACCTAGATAAATAGGTACCACTTCGGTGGGAAGGTAACAGCGTTCTGTGCGCCTTGGTGTTTAGTCATGCCGGCCACATGACCACGGAAACGTCTTCGGACAGTGCTGGCTCTTCGGCTTTGAAACGGAGATGAGCATCGCAACCCTAGAGTTGGACTCGACTGGCTTTCAAGCAAGGGAACCTTTATCTTTACCTTTAAACTGGGGCAAGGAGAGAGAAACAGAACCACAAGTACTTAATCACAATCCAAATGAAAAAAATCAAGTTATGAATTCATGTGATTGGCTGGGTAGGTCAGGTAATCCTTTCTCATCGTGTAAGATGATCAATCTGATACAGAACTAACAGGTAAGGCAAGTGATGCCATGGAGAGTGACAGTGAACTTCCATGGATATCAGATTCTGTTGAAACAGTGGGATGTATGGCGTTATCTGCAGTATATCATGCACATTTCTTTGGGTGTGCTAAAATTACTGTGTCAACAGATTCTAGTATCTTGGGCGGGGTACTCAAATGTCAACAGTGTAAGAAGTATATGCTAAACTTGCCTTTAATTTTTTACCAGTAACTTCCACATAAAGCGTTGAATTTGTATGTAACATTTAAGCCACACTGGATTTATTTCTTTCTTAAACAAATATTACAGTTCAAGTATCTGTTGCTACTGGGAGATACAATTAACATTGGATATTTTAAAAATGTTGTTTATTGCAAAATATGTCAGGCGAACAATGATTCATTAGTGATATTAGTGGGAAACTTACAGCATTGGCGAAGGAGGCTCCTGACTGGCCAATCAACACCTGTGTCTTCTTCATGGGAGTCTGGGAATCAAACAAACAGTCCGGTCATGGCCTGTACCTTGAAGATGAGCCTACAAGAACTTATGGAGCCCATAAAAATGTTATTATGTTATGTTATTTAATTCCACCTGTTGTCAGACTCAAGGAGGATTATACAATGTAAATCAATGCAATCAATAGGATGATAGACAGACAGATAGAATCTGTACGACTAATATGCATCCTGTCTCATCTGCACATACTTCATTAAGAGAGTAACTTCCAGGGACAGCATTTAAATGATGGCATGGGGGTACAGTCACCATTCCCACCTGGTATTTCAAGCCACAGATTATTCCTCAGGAACAGAAATCTCTCTCATTGGTCACTATACAGTACTTTCAAAAGTAACCCAAGAGAGGTTCTTAAAATACATTGAGCAAGACTTTGAACCTTGCTGGGAGGCATTACCCTTTGAACTCAGGGGTAATTAAATTCCTCATTCCTACTCTTTCAACCCAGGGGGAAAACCCTATTTCGATTTTGTTCCTCTGTTGCGCAAACTGAACCAGAGGCTCTTTACTTTTGCATGATTTCGTTTCCCTGAACCAAATTTTCCTAATAGATGGAAGAAAAGAAGAAGCTTTGGTGAAGAAGAAAACTGTGGATTCTCTGATTTGATTATAAAATGTTTAACAGATTAACATATTACTAATACCACTCATTCTTTTCTTTGTCCCTCTTTATACCCTCCCTTATTTCTAATTTTTAGCGAAATATCTCCCCTTTTTAGGGGAGCGAATAAAGCTTATTAAAAAACAAAAAACAAATTCTCCTAATAGAATGTATGCATTTTTCAACATTTGCACATTAATAAATCCAAATTATACATGCATTATATACATAAATAACATACACTGTATTTGCAAATACATTCTAAATTGTGCATCTAAAATGTACAACACATGCACACAAGAAAAATGAAACTATAGAACTACATAAAACTGAAGCTTTTGAAAAAACTATATAGAAATACAAATGGGGGAAGGGAATAATAGGGAACATTTGCTTAACCTAAATTGAAATCTTTTTTTCCCCTAGCCCCTGCGGAAACTGCTAACCTTGGCCAGCTGTTTGAACCACGGGTCTTTATTAGATGGGTCAATCCTATTTCCAGTTTACATTTTTGTGAAAAGAGAGTGATATGGACATATACCATAAAAAATGAAGAGCAAACCATGTGCTGCAAATTGCAGTTTAAGTGGCTGGTGGCCTTTGTTAAAGTCAGGATGAAGTACCAGAAGTTTTTGCAAATTAGAAGAGACTCTCTGGACAACTACCCAGCCAGCAAAGCACTCTTTGGTGGGCAATCTTCCTCAAGTTGTTTACAAGCTTGGGCCACTGCAACAACTTCCACCACCTCAGTCACCTACCACAGTCCCATGATCCAGGGGGAAGTCATGCGTCACCGAGACCCACAGTACTTCCTCATTCCAGATAAAAGAATAGAAAAAGAGACAGATTGTTCTTATAGGACAGCTGAGAACTGATGTGCCAACAGATTAGTCTGTTTCACTTGGTGTCTTTGGCTATCTATTACTGAGGCAGAAGTGGGTTTAGCTCTTTAATATCTTCCCCATAAGAAAAATCTTCAAAGTGGGCAAAGGGAGGGCTACTTGAGCCCAAAACAATTAATCTTCAGCTAGTACAAGTAGCACAGGAGAGCTCCATGGTGAATCCATCTGACCTTACAGTTAGGTGTTGCTACGGTAACACTCCGGTGCCATCTGTCCCTTGCCTTCTACTGCTATCCAGAATTCTCACTTTGTTCACAGGAGAGGAAAATGTTCATGAAGTAAGTAGTAACACAAGACCCGACAGGGAGTTTTTCCCCTTGGTCTGAAACAGTTGGAAGCATTTTATCTAGTCCTGAGAGGCAACTAAAATATGCTTTTTAACAACTTGCTCCTTCCATACTATTTATATAGCTTACCAAGTCTCCTTTTGTACACTATTATATATCAACCACCAGCCCCCCACCCCAAATTTCCCCCTATAGTCACATCTATGCAGACTCTTAAAAAACAAACAACTAAAACAAAGGCTCCTATTTGCTTAGAAACAGCATCTCCTGAAGGAAAATGGTAAGTGGAGAGGAAAACGGCCCCTTTATATGCTCAGATACTGTCCTGGATTTCACACCAGAGCCCCGAAAACACTTTAGTCTTGCCATTACGGGTTAAGAGTGCAAAATTTTAAATAACCACGTTGCAAGGGGGGGGGGGGTCCCTCAGCAGACGGACCTGGGTTACTTACCATGCCCCCGAGCACTAAGTCTTGGTCATCTGTCAGGATTAACAGTATGTTGTGCCTCTCCCTCCTTCCACCTCCTGCCTCTACCACTGGCCCCATGGCCAGCAGGCAGGCAGTTAAGAAACATAAGAGAGTTCCATCGCTTAAGGAGCCTCCCATGGAAAGGACTGGCATACCTTCACCCGGCCGAGCAAAGGCTAGTCCTAACAGCCAGACTCACACTTGTTGCAGAGTTTCAGGAAGTGCAACTTTCTACTGGTCATATGATGCGCGCAAACTCCACCTGCCTCTCTCAAGCACTGTGCTTCTCCCCCACCCACCAGAGTGTGCTGGCCAACAGAGCCTTCAACTACACCACCAGCCAACCACGCCAAGTGGGCTGCTCACGCTGTTTTTGCAAGTCTTTCCAAGCGCACCCTGAGAGGGTCACTTTCAGTATTAGGCAGGCGGGCTTTTGGTGATTAAGAACCGCCCCTGGGAGGGACTTGTTTGCATAATAGGAGGTGGCCGGGAAGTGGGTGTTGTGTTTTGTGCGGGCCGGGCGGCTGTGGATGCGTTTCTCGAAACCGGAGATTGCGTGGTGGCTGTACGGTCGTTCTCCAGTTGGAGCGAATGCCTTTTTATTCAGGAATCTAAGTAAGCGCGCGAGTGATTCTCGTAGCGGGGCATCATCATCCTATGAGTGTTTATGTATAAGGAATTTTTTAGTCGGGCTTATTCCTGAATCAGCGCGCGTCGAATTGCAATATCAGTTGTTTTTACTGGTAATGGGGTGTTTCACCTTCCTTCCCCCACCAAATCTGTCTGACTGTATTTCGCATGCCTCTTAGGGCGGTGTACCTGATGTGGTGGTTAGGGTGTCAAGATTAGGATCTGGGAGACACAGGTTCTTTCTTCCATGGAAGCTTGTTAGGTGCCCTTAAGCCAAGTCAGCGCTTTCAGCCTGACCTACTTTACAGGGTTGGTATGAGGCTAAGATGGAAAAGGGGGGAGAGCGTTATAAGCTAGTTTGGGTCCCCGTTGGGGAGAAAAGTGAGGTCTACATGGTGAATACGTTTTATTCTTAGAACAGCTCTGTCAGTTCAGCTGCTTGGGAATAGAGTGGCTGGTGCAAAATCACCCAGTACGTTTTGTCACTGGGTGTGGGTTTGAACCCGATTCTCCCAGGTCCTACTCTGGGTTTTGTTAATGGTGTCTTCTGTGTTTCTCAGAGTCCTTTTACAAATGGTTGTCTCTGTCTTTGCTGCTTAGGGAAGGGGCTGTGGCTTGGTAGTCCCGAAGGACGCCTGTCTTGCCTCAGCCAGGGCCTTCTCTGTCCTGGCCCCAGCCTGGTGGAACCTGCTCCCTATTGAGACCAGGGCCCTGCGGGATCTTCTTCAGTTCTGCAGGGCATGCAGGACAGAGCTGTTCTGCCAGGCCTTTGGTTGAGGCAAGGGGCACCCATATGTAGCCTCCCTGAGGTTGCTGTCACCCATCTGTCACCCACCTATTTACTGGCCTTTAACTCATTGCACCATTGGGCCAGAACTTTATAGCCAACTGATGCGGTTTCAAGCTGTACCCATTGTTTTATTTGTTATAATGTTTCAATGGTGTTTTAAACTGAAATTGTATTTATTATAACGATGTTAACCCGCCCTGAACCTGCCCGCGGGATGGGTGGGATATAAATGCAAATAACAAATAATTTTAAAAAATAGTAGAGTATCTGCTTTGCATTTAGGTGCTTGTTTTCCAGTCTGCTGGAGTAAAATCCCTCCCCCCATTATGTCTAGATCTGCCAGTACCTTCAATAAATGTGTAGAGAGAAGAAAGGATTTCAGAAGTAGCATAAATATAGCATTTCCATAGCACATGTCGAGAGTTTGGAATAATTCTTGGGCATTATTACAGTATTCCATGCAGCATCCGGGTAAGGTATACAGTGCACATGTGTTAAGTGGCGTCAAGTCACTTATGACATATGGTTGCCTAGTGAATTAATGGTCTCCAAAACATCCTATAGTTAACAGTCTTGTGCAGGTCTTGCAAACTGAGGGACATGGTTTCCTTGATAGAATCAATCCACCCCATGTTGGCTCTTTCTCTTTTCTAGCTGCCTTCAACTTTTCCGGGCATTATTGTCTTTTCTTGTGAGTCTTTTTTATCATAACGTGATGACCAAAGTATGATAGCCACAGTTTAGTCATTTTAGCTTCTAGTGAGTGTTGTTTGCCTTTTTGGCAGTCCATAGCATCCACATTTCAAGCTAGCACAATATTATTCCTATATTGTAGATAGGAGGCTGAATTTGAGTGGGCTTACCTAGGACTCCTGTCTCTAGTTCCAGCTCCTGCCAGCCTAGCAGTTCGAAAGCAAGAAATTGCACGTAGATAAATAGGTACCACTTCAGTGGGAAGGTAACAGCGTTCTGTGCGCCTTGGTGTTTAGTCATGCTGGCCACATGACCACGGAAATGTCTTCAGACAGCGCTGGCTCTTCGGCTTTGAAATGGAGATGAGCATCGCAACCCTAGAGTCAGATTCGACTGGCTTTTGAGCAAGGGAACCTTTACCTTTACCTAGGATTATCTAGTGATTGCGGTAAGAGTTGAGAACCGGAGACTGTAGTTTCTAGCACTGTACTTGCTTGGCCTTCTTCTGTGCTTTCAAGAGCATCTTGCTCTAGAGGTGAAGCTGTTCATATTATTAACAGTTAATACATATGGAGAAGTCTGCTGTTAAGAGCACAGGAGCTGGGACTAAGTAAAAAATGGGCACTCTTAATTATATCAGATTGTGTCTCTCTGTCACTGTAGTAGGCTGGTCCTTGCAATGGTGGGAGATGCTTCATCTGCTCTGATGTGCTGGGTAAAGACAGTGGTTCTCTGCTCAGTAAGAAACCTGGCAACAGTAGAGTGTCCTACCAAGCCCCCAGGAAAGGTACCTTGTTTTTTGTGTGTGTGTGTTTCCAGGTCCTCTCCTTCCTTGCGATGCCTGAGCCACAATCTTCAGCTCTCTTGGCTGCGTTTGGGGGGAAAGGTGTTCTTCCATGGAGCCGATGATGTCACAGATTCCTGTGAAAAAAAAGCGTCATCCCCAGCCTGAGACTACTCTGCCAGCCAACCCTGCAGGTCATGTTTGTTTCCCAGGTGTGGTGCTCTGTTTGGTGGAGAAGAGAATGGGTGCCAGCCGTAAGGCCTTCCTCACTGCTCTGGCCCGCCGCAAGGGATTCTGCGTGGAGGGTGCCAATAGGTAAAAAGCAGCTAGGCCAAGTCAGAGAAGGTGGCAGATCTGGTATCAATGAATAAATTAAGGCATTAATATTAATGTTGCTATTTATTTATTTGGGTCGCAAGAGGGCATTTTGCCAGACAGCTCTTGAGGGCTTTCTTGGTTGAGCCATGAAATCTCAGGTGATGCTTTAAAAAAAATGGGGCTTGTTTACGAACACAAGTAGAACTTTGCTGGATCAGGCCATGGATTTGTTTAGGGTGTGTTCAGATGGCGTGCTGGGAGCAGTTTAAATTGCTCCATTCCCGATGCAGTTTTCTTAAAACCGGAGAATCGCGATCACACTCACCTTCCTTGTTCCGGATCGCTGCGCAGCCACATCGCTTCCCGCCGTTCACATGCGAGAGTGTGCCTCTGTGGGTTTTTTCTTTCTTTCAGATTGAGCATGCGCACAGGAGGCCATCTGTTAAACTAAAATTTTCACGCGTGCGCAGAACAGCAATTTTCAAATTTCCCTTTAAACTTTAAATGAACACTTCCCTTCAAATTTTCACCTTGTAACTGGCTTCCGTGAGATCCCGAACTTGTCTAAACACTAAAACTAAGCACCATTAAAACTTTGCATTTAATAATTTAGGGGCGGAGCTCTGCCCATGCGCATACCGCTGAGGCAAAAAAAATGGCGGACAAAAAGTGGAAGCCTTGAGTTTCTGCTGCAGCTTTCCAGAGGGGAGGGGGTTGAGGCACCCGGAAGTGGCTTGACACCGCAGGAGCGATCAGACGTTGGAAACTGCGGCTCAAAACTGGAGAATCAGGAAAACACCACTTGGTAAGTGGTATCAAAATACTCCTGTTTAAAGGGGGTTTGATCCAGAAAGCCATGGCTGGGAACGGTGCACAGATGTTGGGCGTGTGAACGTGCACATAAAATCCGTTACTGAAGCATGCCAAAGCGGTTCAAACGGCGCATCTGAACGCACCCTTAGTGAAGCATCCTCTTTCTCACAGCAGAGAAGCAGATGCTTCTAGAGAGCCCCTCCCTCATTCTTTGTCATCAGCAACTACATTTGAGTTTGAAAGTGCTGTTTAGCAGTTGTGACTTATAGCTGCTAATAGACCTCTGTGAATTTGTATAATTCCCCTCTTAAAATCTTTGCAATCAGTGGCTCTCGCTGAGTTTTGTAGCAGTGTATTCCATAAGTTAATTGTGGTATTATCAGTTGTATTACCATTCTGACAGTTGTGTCCAGATTTGGCCCAAATTGGCTGTTGTCAAATCACATGACAACTTTTGCAATAGCAACCCTTACATTCTTCCATGTTTTTCTGTGGAACGAGGTTTATGACTCTGGCTGTGAAAACAGTAAAGGCAATAAATAAATAAATGTGTCCCAAATAGCTTCAGTCCAGATTCCAGGTCTCTTTCAAGGCTGCATAAATCAGCCATGGACTACAACTGGCAGGGCCCAGAGGGACTGTTTTCAGAGGAGTCCTGCTGTGAGGCAATGTGGAGTGCCTGCCTCAGATAAGTGGATTTCCCATGTCTTCTTCAAAGAGAAGGAAAGTGACTGTTAAGAGTAAGGTTGCCAACCTCCAGGTGGGGCCTGGACAGTGGCTCTCTAGATGACAGAGATCTGTTCCCCTGGGGAAAAAATGGCTGCTTTGGAGGGTGGACTCTTATCACATTGCATATTGCTGCGGTCCATCCCCTTCCCAGGCTCTACCCCCAAACTCTCCAGGAATTTCCCAACTCAGAGCAGGCAACCCTAGGTAAGAGCCATGGGGCACAGTCTGTTGGGGAGTTTTCTTCTGTAGGCCCTCTTGAATTTGACAAGAGTTACAACTCCCTGGGGGTGTTTCACACAAAGACCTCCTGATGGATTGTGCCCCCTGTTAATTGGGGGTGTGAAGGGCTGGATTGTTTAATTTAGTCTCTGGCACCAAAATGTCTTTGGCCACCTTAGTCTGAGTTCCACCTCTCTGAACGATGTTTACTGTACAGCACCAGGCTGGTTGGATTGAGCTGTGTCACTTGGGCTTGCAACTTGAGTCCTCCCTTCTTTACCTCCCTAGCGAGAGAGTGACTCATGTGGTATCAGAAGGCAACTCTGGCGACGAGGTGGTTGAGTGGATGAAGAGGAACGGGAGCCGCTCTGTGGGTGCTGCAGGAAGTGGCCCGGCCCTGCTTGATCTCAGCTGGTTCACAGAGAGCATGAGTGCTGGACAGCCTGTGGAGATCGAGCCCAGGCACTGTCTGGGGGTGAGTCAAGCTTATCTGTAGAAAGAGACACCTTGTAGATGTTTGGAATAGTCTCTGTTCTACTAGGGTGCATGTAGACTAATGAATATAGGCCTTGCTTTCCCCCCCCCATGTTTGTCCTGCCTCTTCTCCTGTTCCCAGATTAGCAATGTGACATGCGGGTGTTTAGCATGGGAAGCTTTTTTCTGGCATGGAGATAGAAGCTGCTGTGAAAGGATGGAAAGACAGCAGCCAGGCTTGCTGTGCTTTTATTTGGTGTTTGCATTCAGAGCAGCTGTTTCTTGTGTGATCTGCTATTGATGCTTGCACAGAGAAAGGGCCTCACTGCACTTCAAGCTCTGTTGGTCTTTGCATGCCCTTCTGACTTCCTCTAACCTGTCAGGGTGCAATGAAGAATGGAGTACAATCTTGTACGTCACCAATTGCCACAACAACCCTCAAAATGGCTTCAGAAAAATGGGGGTGGGGGCAATGCCTCTCTGAGAGTTTGCTTACCATGTTGTCGTGTAGACACTTTCCCAACTTCTGTTCCTCTTTTCTTTTTTCTTTTATCAGGAAGCTGTGGATATTACAGCAGAGGAGGCACACCTGAGTGTGACTCCACTAGTGTGACAGACAAAGTATTGGGAACTGGCTATTTGTTAAAAATAGTGAGAGTAGGTGGCCTGTTGTGGTCACCGGGACGTTTCTCTGCTTCCTTCTCTTCAGGTGACTGTCCATGCAGAAACACTTGAGGACAGATGTCAGGTGGCTGCTTATGCCTGCCAGCGCCGAACTCCGCTTGCTCACAAAAACCAGCTGCTCACGGTAATTTGATTAACCTGCTCCTTGTAACTGGAATGTATTGAGCCAGGGGAACTGAAACAGAGTGACAGGGGCAGAGGGCAGAGCCCACAGAAGACATATCGGTAGCAAAGATGAAAAAGCGAGGCGGTGCCCCATCTTTGATCCCTGTGACTATAGGGAATAAGCCATCCGGAAGCTTTCCTGTACCGGCTTCATTGAAATGAAGGGGAGTCGTGGAAGACTCCTGCTGTGCTGGTGGCTGAGTCGGAGCTGATTCAAACTTCGGGATGATGGATATGCAGCAGGGTCCCGGCAGGACTGTCTGCCTCCAGCATGTGCGTGTGGAGGGAGGATTTTGCATTTGAATCTGCCCCCAGTTCGGAAATAGCCTTGTCTCCTTTGCTGGCCCATCCCCTGTACTCTAAACACCTTCCAAGCATGCACAATTCTTTTTTAAAAACAGCAGATGAAGTACCAAACTACACAATGCATTTTTTTTTTTAATGAGCTTGGTCAGGGTTCCTTGATTCATGTCATGCTGGCAGGAGGAGTAGGCTCTGCCCCCACTGGCCAAATTTTCCTGAGCTAAAATGAGGAGCACGGTACTATGCCCTTTTTGGCCCTAAGTGCTGCTGCTGCTGCTGAACTCTTGTACGCAAGGCTTCTGTTACAGGCCCACGAGAAAAAGCAATGAAAAGGGGGAAAATGTGGCAACCCTAATCTGGTTCTCTCTTTCTGTGCAAAGCTAGTATGTCATGGAAGAGGATTTTATCCTAATTCCCCCCCCCCCCCCCTGTATTTGTTAGCTTTACACATGCAGGGAGATTCTGTTGTGAGGACTGGGGAATATATGGGTGCGTTCACACCTGCTGTTTCCTGTATGTAGACCTGAGGTGCTGTAGCTCTCTTCTGAGCATCTGAACCTGCTTTTGGCTGTAGCCAGTAGAGGGCATCTCCCAAAAGTTACCCTTGGGCAATTCTGCATCTAGCATTCACTCCACGTTTTCTCAACTGGGAGGAAAAAGTGCAGCTCAAAACTACATTCAAATACCTCTTGGCAACACCGTATGCAATGCTGTGCTGACTGCAAAGTCAGCCCTAAACGGCCATAAAACGACCATAAATCTATGCAGAAGGTACCATAAAACTCGATAATCAAATAAAGTCAAATTGGCATGGAGTGTGGAGGCTACCATAAAATCCAAAGATCATGCAATACAGAGGGGAATTTCTGTTCCAACGTGGGTTTCGTAAAACAATGGAGGGAAAAGCCAATGCATAATCAGCCCTTATTGTCCCTCCTTTGTCAGGAAGCTCTGGAAACAGTGGCTGAGGAGGCACTCTTCCGTGGCAGTGAAGGACGTGGCCTGGCTTTTTCCAGGGCTGCCTCAGTGCTCAAGTCCTTTCCTTGGACTGTCAGAAGTGTTAAAGACCTAAGTTCCCTTCCCGGCATTGGAGAACACTCCAGAAAAATTATCCAGGTAATTTTCTCCCTGAGGCTGCTTAGTCTCTCTCAGCACACTCTGCTTTCAACTTCCTCCTCTTTTTCTTCATACAAGGAGAAATTTCAGATTTTTTGCTCATCACAGTTATTAAAGGCAGTGAAGCCATGTCATGAAGAGTAGTTGTGTGTTGGTTTGAATTCAGACCATCTTCCAATCTGAGCTCAAATCTAAACTGAAATAACCTGAGTGTAAGGAAGAACAGCCTCTTCCATATATGACTCTCGATCTTCCATTCAGAGAGTTTCTGGCTTGCGTTGCATGGCTAGCTTAAAGGAATACCCCCAGTCTGGACAGGGACCCACGGCAACAGCAGTAAGTGATACTCGACAAAGTGGCAAGTTAGATGAAATCCTCGGCGTCTTCGTTTCTTTGCTCCCATTATAAAACTTCCTAATTTGAATAGTTTCTCAAAGCTACCTCCCACGGGAGCTCAGGGTGGAAGTGCCAGTCCGTAACTATAATTTAAAGATAAAAGCTGTTTAAAAAGTCAATAAAATAAGATAAGCAGGGAGCCTTATGGAACGCGTCTTACTCCTCCGCCGCCATCTTGGTCATCTGGATAAAGCGAAGCCAAATTTGTTTTAGGAGAACACAAGCATCTGGACTGGAGAACTAGCGCAAACTCAAGCTATCAGTATAATATCACATTCAGTAATACCTAGTATGAGCAAGCCCACTACAAGGAACCAAATATTCAAGAATCTCGAGAGGCCAAAGAAGTAGGCAAAGAGGGTAAAACAGAGAATAAGCAGAGGAGTGTGGGGAAGAGGTAGAAGATGGAGGTTAGTGAAGGATCACGTATGTTGAATGTGCTATGCGATTGAATGCTAGTAGGGGCCAACAAGCACTTCTCCTCCTAGTATTTTTTCCTGTTTTTTTAATTGTGTTTATGTGGCCGAGAGGTCCCAACTTCCATCATACAAGCCCCCCCTTTAATCTGAAACCCCTCAAGCAAGTTCTCAAGAAGTGTAGGTGCTTGTCAAGAGTTGCTCAGCTAGAAACTTTCCCCTCTTCCCCGATGCCAGACTGCTGCTAGAGAAGTAAGCGGGATGCTAGAAGTACTGGCAAGATCTTGCCACAGCTGTGGTCCCATGCTAGCCAATGCTCATCCTGTCACAAATAACGTTTTCACCCAGGTGTTGCCAGGCTGATAACCCCTCACTGGTGGCTTGAGGGGATGGAGGTGGTGCCGCTGTCCAGCATCTCATAGTCCTGTCCTGTGGCAGATGCAGTGTTGGTCCTTTTCTCCTCATGTCTGCAGTTGCAAAACATTTTAGCAGTTGTGTCAGGGGAGAGGGTTTTGGATAATAGCATTGTTTCTCTATAGGTGCCCTGATGCTGAGCTAGCCATCCCTGATTTAAGCAATCTCAGCCTGTTTGTGTCTCCTGAACAGGAGGTGCTGGAAGATGGCGCATCTGCAGAGGTGGAGAATGTAAGGCAGTCTGAGAGATACCAGACTATGAAGGTACAGTGGTGCTTGGATGGGGTGGTGTATGGCCTAGGTAGTTGTTGGCACTGAATGCCATGGAACGTAGACAAGTCTCCCGTCTCCCATACTTGCTTGGAACCTTGACTCCAGGGGAGGAGAGGTTTAGCCTGTGGTTTTGGGTATGGAATTCAACTTCCAGAGAGTCTTCTATCTCACTTTGAAGGGGGAGGGGGAACCAGGTTTCTAGACTCCGAGAGTTGTGCAGATATACTTTAAAGAGTGTGGGACAAATCTTGGTGAAATTTCCAGAGTCCAGAAGAGGAGAATCAGGGGTGAAAGTTTCTGTGCCTGCTGAACTCCTTCCCTCTCCCAATAGCTAGCAAAATCAGAATAAATTACGAAAATGTAGATAGGCCTATATGAGTGTGCTGAATTTGCATTACTTGTGTAAGTAATAAAATACCATTTTTGAGTACAAAATTTAAATTGTGCCAGAAATAATTCAGAGTAAATGCAGGCTTGCCTTGAACTGGGTGACCCCTGAAGCTATAGAGCTATAGCTAGAAGAGCCCTGGAAAGAAAATGAATTGTGCAAATTGAGGAGGCTGTCTCTTTACAAAATCCCTTCATTCCTCTGGCTGGCACTTGTGCCTACCCTTATTGCCCTCTGGTGGCTATCAGTATTTATAGATCTTTCATTGCACATGGCCCATGCATTTGTTTGTTGTGTCCTGCCATGCTTTATTATCAAATTCGTTTCACAAACTGTTGTTTCTCTAAGCTGTACCTTGGAAAAAGCACAGTAAGGCCCCAAAAGTCTGACCAGCACTGCAGCCAACATTAGCACTTATTGGATACTTTCCATGATGAGTAAACTCAGTTTTTCTTCCACCCCTTGATGCTGAGAGGAGTTTTACATGTATTTAATCTAGTATTAGTTTCAGTGCAATACTAAGAAGAGTTAATCAATGGGCTTAGGATTTAACTGTTAACTGGATGGATGCCTTTCAATAAAAGTGCTTACTTTAGAGTAACCTAAAATACCACGTAGTATATTTTTATAGGACCTACCAAAACAGCAGTAAACCATGCACAAGAGGGGAGGTGAAAATAAGATGACTACCACACACCCGTCAGCGATCAGCCTTTTTTTTTAACCTTTTTATTGAATTTCTACAGGTTTTATAAAGCAGAAACAGTGTTTACACAGGTATAATAACAAGAACATTAACACTAGCATAGACTATGAGAGGTGAATAACAACACTGCCTAACTTAAGAAGGAAAAAGAAAGAGAACAAGAAAAAACTCCAAAACTAATACCTACATGCGCCAATAGCAGTAGTTCCCAGAGCTTACAAAAGCATTACCTCAGTATTATGCAAGGCCCATTTTTCACAAATCATCTTATCCGCTTCTACCTTTTCGAAGAAAGGAAACCATTTGTCCATTGGGTCTAAGATAGCGATCAGCCTTTGAAGGGATCTGTATTTGCATTTGTCACTAGACAGATTTTATTAATTTTTGGTTCTTATGTTTTCAACTAGGGCCACGGTGGCTCAGAGGTTAAGATGCTGAGCTGCAGACCAGAAGGTCTGTAGTTCATCAGTTTGAGACCCTAGTGCTGTGTGATGGAGTGAGCTCCCCTCCCTGGGCCCAGCTCTTGCCAACCTAGCAGTTCAAAAGCAAGAAATTGCAAGTAGATAAATAGGTACCGCTTCAGTGGGAAGGTAACAGCATTCTATGCACCTCGGCGTTTAGCCATGCTGGCCATATGACCACGAAAACGTCTTTGGACAGCACTGGCTCTTCGGCTTGAAAACAAAAGATGAGTACCGCCCCCTAGAGTCGGATTCAACTAGCTTTCTAGCAAGGGAAACCTTTACCTTTACCTTATGTTTTCAGCTGGAAGCTGCCATTATTTACTTTGTCTTTGGAGAAGGTTAAAGCAACAGTGTGATACCAGCTCCACTCAGTACCACCTAATCAAAGCAGTACTTTCTATACAGGGTGTAGACCAGGATGACCACAAGTGGTGGTAAGCTGAAGTCATTCCCATTGCACCAGAGAATAATAGCCTGTGCATACTTACAAATGCCTTCACTTGTGTGCATTTTATAAACATCTGCGCTATAAAACAGTCATGCAATTTGCTTCTTAGTATTGGCCTGTGAAATAAGAATGGAATGTTCTGTATGATCATCACTTCTTTCACATTCAAGATTCTAGGATTTGTACTGCGTGTGTTCTCTTTCACATACACAGCAGTCACAGAGAATTTCTGTTTCTTCTAGCATTGCTACACTTTGTCCGCAGAAAAATGCCTAAAGGACAGGTACCACACTCTTACCAAGTAGCTTCTGTTGGATTGCATTCTTGGGTGCTTTCAGTTTTTGTGGAGTGACAGCAAGGCCTGTTAGACCAGGCTCCTACCCTGTGTGAACTAAGTGGGCACCTGGGGATATGCCCCAGAATCCTTTGCAGTGCAGGCAGGTTTTCTGGCAAATGAACACATGTACATGAACACACATGAAGCTGCTTTATACTGAATCAGACCCTTGGTCCACCAAAGTCAGTATTGTCTCCTCAAATGGGCAGCGGCTTTCCAGGATCTTGGGAACCGTGGGAAAACCACAGTGTGTGTTTTTTGGAACTACACAGCAGAAGGCTATAATAAATGGCTTGTACTCTGCAGAATTTCAAAAAGATCTTTGGTGTTGGGGTGAAAACTGCTGGCCGATGGTATCAGGAAGGACTAAGGACCATTAGTGACCTGCAGGCGCATCATGCAAAACTGAACAGTGCACAGCAAGTTGGTGAGTAATCCATGCAGAGTGCTGATGAACATGAATTACTGGGAGCGCATCCCTCCAGTACTGAAAGAACTGTCCTGGCTGGCTGTCCACCTCTGGGCACAACCCAAAGTAGTGGCATTGTCTTTAAGGCCCTCTGTGGTCTGGGTGCTTAAAAGGACCACCAACACCCATACGTGCTAGACGATATTCCCAACCTTTTTATTTTTTTATGTCCCTGCCTTTGGAAGACAAGTGGGTCTACCAGAGAAATGGCCTTTTTGGACGTGATACCTTGCTTATGTAATGCCCCCTTTCAACCATCCTAGTACCTGTTCCAGACACTGGATTAAATCATTTTTATTTACCCAGGTTTTTGATAGGGTTGGTTGGTGATTCTAGGTGGTGTGCGTTCGCTTTGTCTGTACCCCTTGGGTCATGACTCTTAAACTTCCATTTCTGTTTTGAACTGTTATTAGTTTACTTGCTGCTTTGTTTTGTACTTTTCCCTTTTGTGTTTGTGGCATTGTACTGTTGAACATCATAGTAGGTTTTCAGTGCCATCTTAAGCAGAATTATACCCTTTCAATGGGATTTAGAAGGATGTAACTCTCTTTAGGATGGTATTGGATTATTGATAGGTCTGATCTTTTTCTACTAGGTAGCTACTCTTAATGATGCCCCAGATTTGAGGAGGCCTTCTCACCTGGCTTGGTGGAAAGGTCCAGCCATTGTTATGTACTGCTTTGTGGGGCATTGGGGGAGTCTGTTCTGGTTGGCCACAAAGGCCTTCCAAGGGCTGTTGGGCAAAACTGGAGTAGATCTTGCCCCTGAGGCAAGAGGGGTGACATGATTGAGGTTTATAAGATTATGCATGGGAAAGAGCAGGTAGAGAAAGAGGTACTTATCTCCCTTTCTCACAATACAAGAACCCGTGGGCACTCCATGAAATTGCTGAGCGGTCGGGTTAGAACGGATAAAAGGAAGTACTTCTTCACCCAAAGAGTGATTAACACTTGGAATTCACTGCCACAGGAAGTGGTGGCAGCTACAAGCATGGACGGCTTCAAAAGGGAATTAGATAAGCATATGGAGCAGAGGTCCATCAGTGGCTATTAGCCACAAGGTATAGACAGGGACTCTGGGGCAAGTGATGCACTGTCATATTGGTGCTGGGGGGGGGTCAACAGTGGGAGGGCTTCTAATGTCCTGGCCCCACTGGGGGACCTCCTGATGGCCCTGGTATTTCTGGCCACTGTGGGATACAGAGTGTTGGACTGGATGGGCCTTTGGCCTGATCCCACATTGGCATCTCTTATGTTCTTATGTTCTTAACAGGAAGTGAGAGGCATCAGTACAGAACAGACAGAAATCTGGCTTCCTCTTATAATTGTTCTTTACTTCTGAAGTGCTGATCTCTCATCCTGGGTGTGATTTTGTTTCCCATCAGGACTCCTGCATTACAGAGACCTCAACAGCCCAGTGAAGCGCTCCGAGGCAGAAGCCATTGTTCAGGTGGTGCAAAAAGCAGTGGACCAGTTCCTGCCTGGAGCCTCTGTGATTCTGACAGGAGGGTTTAGAAGGTGAGCTGCTTTGTTTAACGGACTCTTGATATCTGGCTCCCAGAATGCACTAGTGTCTGCTTTTGTAATCCTCTGGAGCCCTTTCTCCTTCAGTAAGATGGAGGAATGATGTGACTTTCAGGAGACAAATGAAAATGAGTTTTCAAACCCATTTTGACTGTTATGTCTCCCAGCTAGCAACTCTGGGGATTATCCCGAGGAGGCGCTAGAGATCTTGTAGCATAGATGTGTTTTCTGACCCAATTCGCTTTGTGTAAGAAATAATCCTTAGTTTTGCTGTGAAACCCAGGGAGAATGGCAAGTACTGTGGGAACAGCAGGTTCCTGTAACGGGGTGCAAAGCAGCCGTGTGGCTTTCTGTTGCTGTCTTCGCACCCCAGGAGGTAGGATGGTGTGTATACAAAAACCATAATGTTACAATAGTGTTTGACTCAGTCCAGCACATTTTCCACCAAGAGAGCAAGAGAGGTGTGCTTGTTTTTCACATTAAATAGACAAAGGTTTGTCTATTTGAATAGGTTGGCAACCTATTCAAATTAACTCTAGCTTGGATTAAGCCCTGAACAAAGCCTGTGCCAGCAGCTGGTGCAAACAGCTGAACGATAGTCTGGAATTACTGGGGATGCTGGTGGAGTGAACATTGATGGAAGGAACGTTAACAGTTTGGGATGTGCAGATGACACCCTGTTATTGGCAGAAAACAGTGAAGACTTGAAACAACTACTGATGAAGATTAAAGCAGAAACAGACTATGAGTGGGCACCTGCTGAGGAATTATACAATTTTAAGGTTGATGATGAAGAAATTGAAATTGTGCAAGGTTTTCTATTCCTTGGTTCCATCATCAACCAGAAGGGAGACTGCACCCAAGAAATCAGAAGGAGATTGAGTCTGCGAAGGGCAGCCATGGAGGAGCTAGAAAATATTCTTAAGTGTAATGGTGTGTCACTGGCTACCCCAAGTATTCCCCATTGCTATATATGGGTATGAAAACTGGACAATGAAGAAAGTTGACAAAGAAAATAGATTCCTTTGTAATGTGGTGTTGGAGAGTTTTATGGATACTGTGGACTGCCAAAAAGAGAAATAAGTGGGTCAGTAGTTCAGCAGTTCAAGACCCGGGTGCCGCAAGACGGGGTGAGCTCCCATCTCTAGTTCCAGCTCCTGCCAACCTTGCAGTTCGAAAGCAAGAAATTGCAAGTAGATAAATAGGTACCACTTCGGTGGGAAGGTAACAGCGTTCCGTGCGCCTTGGTGTTTAGTCGTGCCGGCCACATGACCACGGAAACGTCTTCGGACAGCGCTGGCTCTTCGGCTTTGAAACGGAGATGAGCACCGCAACCCTAGAGTCGGATTCGACTGGCTTTCGAGCAAGGGAACCTTTACCTTTACCTAGACCAAGTCAAGGCTGAACTCTCCCTAGAAACTAAAAGGGCTAAACTGAGACTATCGTATTTTGGTCATGTTATGAGAAGACAAGAGTCACTTGGAAAAGACAATAATCCTGTGAAAAAGTGAAGGCAGCAGGGAAAG